GTTTGACCTTGAAATAAAGGTCAAAGGTCAAATCCAAGGGCATATTTGAAATCTACACATATGACTTTTGGAAAGCCGTCTGTAGAAATTTTTCCCATAATTCCTTCCGTAGGGTAGATAATTGGCATTGAATTTTCAAAAATTTTGACAAGGGTGCATTTCAACTAGCGTCACGCCCAGGTTAATGCACCGACTGAGACAAAAAAATCTGGGGGTTCAAGTTGAGGTTATATGTGACCTAAATCCAAGAGATGGGGACAGGGGTCCTTGCGGTCTAGGAGGAGAAGCGGTAACGGTGACTTGTATCCGGCGCCAGTACGCGGAGCCGGCGGAGCTTACGGAGCCGGCGGAGCCAACGGAGCCGGCGGAGCCAACGGAGCCGGCGGAGCCGGACGAGACGGGTCGGGACTAAAACCATGAGTACCGCCAGCGTACACGCTGGTGGTACTAATAATAATTTCATCATTTAGCACAGTAATTAAGTAATTTACATAATTTTCTATGTACGAAATGGTCAGAGCTGAAAAACTGCATACATTAACTTTATGAACTATTAAAGATTATCTTTAAATTATGCACCAACAACAACAAAAAAAAAGGTTCAGTTTTCTCAAAGACCTCACCTCCTCACTTCTACCATCTGTCAGCTGCAGAATCATGTTATCACCTCTACTGGCCTGCTGGAACACTGTCACCCCCTCACGCTTTAACTGAGCCTGAAATAGCACAGTAAGGCAAGATGAAAAGGAACTTAAAAGGGCTTAATGCAAATATTTTCTAAGTTCAGAAAAGTATTCACTCAAACTTTTTTAAGGCATCTGGCAATGGATAGTTTGAAGTAATCAATGGATGAATTTACTTAGTATTTGTTTATTTCAGTCATACTGGCTTTATGCTTTTCGCTCATACAATTAATATAACAATCTATGACTTCCACACACACACTCGTACACAAAAACTCACACATGTGCACAAAAATAAATGCATATTCATATAATCTCTCTCTCTCTGTCTCTCTCACTCTTACCCTGTGAGGCAGATGTTTGAGCGTTGGGAACCCTGGGAAGTAGACATCTTGTTTAACTCCCTCACACAGTCCTCTCTTCAGCTTGTCAGCATCCACCAGGAAACTGTCCAAAGGAAGTGGTGTATACCTGGACAAATCATACACAGATATTACAGGTAGGTTCACCTCTCCAGGTGAGTAATCCAACATGTTAATTTTCTTACCTAGTTCAGCTTAATTTCTCTGCTGTGGTACAATATTTTGGTCAACAGGCACGGTTTGTAAACTTAAGAAAATGGTGATAAAAATGGGTGACCTTTTAGGTATATACTGCAGTCAACCTTCTGTGATAATTCAGAGAATGGAAAGTGATGCACAAGCTCCTTTAATTCATATCTACTGAAAATTGTACATCATTCTTAAAGAGGTTAAACACATTTTTTTAACCAATGATGTTTGACATTTGGCCTTTTGGCTCCAGGGGGGGCGCCCAGGCTAATGCTATTTCTGGTTCACAAAAATTCAGAATCGCCAATAGTTGGAAAAATCCCATCCCTGCTGAAGGTTTTTAAAACATGACTTGTCTCTTTAAAAGAGGATAACCTTTTAACAAACACCACACAAGAGATAATGAACAACCTGTTTTTCCAGATACTTACTTGCAGTGATTAAGGACAATATCTGGGATTCGTCCTGGTAGAGGCGACTGCAGTGGTTCCTGAACTTCCTCTGTAAACTGGTACATACAATGCGGACTGTGCCTGTTCCGGGCCTTTTCACTGGGACTGAGCTTGTCATAAATGGGAGCCATGGATTCCAACAGTCTTTTCTGCAAAATATAAATATCAACATATGACCTACTTACTCAAATCTGTGTCACCATGACCTACTTATTCAAACCTGTGTCACCATGACCTACTTACCTCATCAATAAAAGGTATGCAGACGACGGCTTCCCAGTCCTGCTGCTTGCCATTCAGATCTGTCTCAAAGTTCACTGGGTAAAAATCTATTATAGGGGATGTGTCCATTGTCATCAGAGTCTAAAATAATAAAAAGCAAAAAAATTAATTAAAGATGTTTATTTAGTATATATATATTTTTTTAATTCAAACTCCACATACAGCGAATCATACAAAATCAACTGAATAATATTATATGAATTTTTGAGTCAGACTTGGCCATTGCAGCATAAGCTTCATGTAGCTACAGATCTAAAACAGAAAGTGGCAATTAACTTAAAGACTGAAAACTTCATGTTACTCTGACCCAGGAAATAAAATCTTCATCATCTTAGACCCCATTCCCAGAGACTAGATCGATCCAAACTAGATCGACCTAACTCCCTGGGGGTTCACGCTAAATAGCTGTCAGCCGAGCGGGCACCATAGTTAATTACCCCATTACAGCTTGTAGTAGGCGGGACGGACATTTAAGCCAGAATATCTGACAGTAATTTAGTGAGACTCCCCACGGGGATAGATCGATCTAACATCTATGGGAATACGCCCTTAATCTTCATCAATTCTATTTCAAAGAGAGAAGAGAAAGGGTATATTAACAACTAAAGTTTACCTGGAAGGGTGAAGGAAGAAGGTTCTTGCTGGCGGCAGGCAACACTGCCATCAGCTGCTCAAATGGTAAGAAAGGCTTTCCAATGTCAAACTTTATCTCCATGTTGCTGAAGTCCTTGACATCACTAATATAGGGGGCGTAGTGGAAAGGATAGAACCAACTCCAAGAAGGAACTCCACGATAATAGTAGTAGAGAATCCACTGTACAGCTTGGACATATCCTGTAGCCTGTTTTCTAAGAACTTCCCTGGAAGAAAGAAATTACAGCTTTGCAGTTTATATATTAGCTGGTAAACTATCAAATGATTTGTCAACTATAGATCAAAAACTTCTATGTTTTGTTTCTATGAATCTGTTTTCCAAACGGCTCTGAATATTACTTAATGGATCAATCAATGAAGTCATCTCAATTCCACATTTTCATTTTATACATCTTTAAGTTTACCAAGAACTTCAGTTTTCTGAATTGATTTCCTTGCCATTAACCCCATCTTTAGATTCTGTCAAATGGTCTCTTTTTGAGCCACCAACAAAAATACTCCTTTTTACATACTTGGGCCAGTTTTGAAAGAATTAGCAGTATTTTATTATACTCACGGTGTCACTTTTTCTATCTCCAATTTATCCATATAATAATGCTTTTTGTGTTGAGCAAATTCTGCCAAAAAATCATCACTTTCTGACTCTTCCTCTTCTGTCTCCTCTTCTTCAATTTCTGCTGAGTCATCCTCCAACTGGCTTTCAAAATCATCAAGGACGGTGTTCTCGTCAATGCCAGTCAAGGCATCAAATGAATTGTCTGTTTTAAACTTCTTATCCTGAAATTTAAGATGCAAAATCTTGCATAAAATAATGTCAAATTATTTTCATTTTTGTGTCTTCTTCAGATATGTCTTTTCTGGCAATATCCCCACTCAGAAAAGTGATGAGAAAAGACAAATTGTGCATATAATCATGGCAAATTAACAGCCAAGTCGTATGGGGAGCCATCAGGAAAGGATTAAAATCTCTCACTACTGAGTTTCTGCATAAAAAAATTGGTCTGGTTTGGGGTTGGCTGGTTATGGTAATGATGGTGGCGGGGAAGTTGAGGCAGCTGTCCATAATAACAAGTCACCTACCCCACCAGGTTTCTTGTTAGATTTGGAGTCATTTCCTCCTGAGTCTGCTGTGAACTCCTGCAATTTTCTCCCCGTCTTCCCTGAGAACCACTTGAGATCTGCATACTGCTCATCAAACTTGTCTATATCATACTAAATATAAAAGATCAAAATAATCTTATCATTTAGCGATATCATTTTACGTATGTTAACAACTTCAAATCAGTGAACTTCTCCATAAACTCACTATTTTTATGTTGTCATAAATAAACTTGCTTTATGAAAGTCATGTCCAAAGGAAGAAAAAATGAAAAGTTTGAAAATCTATTTCTCGTTAATGAAAGTTCTCTCTACAGGAAAAAATATTAGCCCTTTCAACAACTGGTGGTATGTTTTCAACTAACCTGCGCCAACTTTTCAAAGTATTTTTCAAATCTTTTCAAATGGAGCTCTCCATTGTCATTCAAGTATCCTGAAAACAGTGATAATGTGATCTATTGATAGATTATCAAATTGATTTTACAATGGAAAAGTGACAGTCACACCTTGCATACCTTGGAGCAAAAAAATCATGCACTGTTTCCTCCAACGATAACAATACGATAATACGATAAAACGATAATAACCCTCTGCCCCTTAAGCAAGATTATACCATACTTATTAGAGCACATGAAATACTAAATTAAAAATAAATGATTTCTTTACTAGTATAGATGTTAATTATAATGCACAATGGACACAGGCTGTATCTGGGAAACAGCATTATGTCATTATCACCCCATTTCCATAGATTTTTAGATCGATCTATCCCTGTGGGGAGTCCCACTAGATTACTGTCAGCTTGGCCGGCTTAAGCATCTGTCCCACCTACTAAAAGCTGTAAGGGGGTAATTAACTATGGTGCCCGCTCGGCTGACTGCAATTTAGCGTGAACCCCCAGGGAGTTAGGTCGATCTAAATCTTAATCTTTAGATCGATCTAAATCTCTGGGAAAGCACCCTATGACACGCCTACCATACTCCAAGCACCTGACACACAGCATGACACACCCTGACACATTCTATCCTATACACGCAGCATCAGGTCACATCTAACGCAATCCACTGTGTCATCACCACCCAACACATCCAAATGTCACATCTAACACAATCCACCGTGTCACACCTAACACACTCCTTACCATCCAATGTGGGCATCACCTCCTTGTAAATCTTCCACAGCAACGGCAGGGCGTTGTCCTTGATGTGGAGATGAGGCAGATGAGGAATGAAGTCGTTCCCCACCAGAAATCCCAGTAACACCCAGTCATCTATAATGTTCTCAAGGTTGTATTCAAACTGAAGCTTGTCCTGTAAAATTTTAAAATATTAAATTTAACACAAACTTTAAGGTTTACTTCTGGTCAAAATAGATTCACTATGAAAGCAATGCTGGTCAGAAATATCTTCCATGATATTTTTGTTAACAAACATGATTTTTAATTTAACGGGACAGTTTCTAATTCAACTTGGCTCAAAGCAGATTAAAATTTTTGTCTAAAAGCTTACACTGATTTTCAGCTCTACTAAAAAAGTTTAACAGGTCCTTGCTGATAATCAGTGAAAATGTCATAAAATGTCCAGGCAAGCTCACCCTGAGAGAGCCAAACTCAAAGTCCAGGTATTCTCTGAACAGTGATAAGTGGAGCAGGTGGAATGTTGTCTCCTCAGGGGTGTTTGTTCTGGAATTTAACATGATATAAACTTTAAGATCCTGCCTTATTTTCATACGACCTGCCTCCTGTTTCTTAATTCACCTACAAATTGTTTTTAAATTAAAATCATGCAAAACAGAACACAATACTGTCTGTGGGTTCTATTTCTTAATCAATATGGACAAATGTGAAAAATCTAAAGTAAAAGATATTTTTAACCTCTATAATCATGTTACTAAAATAAAATTGATAATACAAGTAGAGCAAAATTGATAATAAATATAAAATATTATCATTAAAAAAACTCCATAAAATTAACCATATGTACTACATTTTAACACTGGACTTATAATGTCACCTTTTCTTGGCATCTTTTTTCCCTCCAAATCTGACTTCCTCCCTGAGCAGAGAAAAGTGAGGCTCGTGACAGGACAACCCCAACATCATCTGAAATATTAACACCATTTACTTCACTACAAACTTATTAGAAATTGTTTCTACCTGGTTTAGCATAATATTGTAAAACTCTTTATCATTTTTTTTTTGGGGGGGGGGGAAGGAAGGATCAAAGGAAAGGAGGATCAAAGGTCAGTTTGTCAGAGAAAAAATACAGTCTACCCCTAAGAATATTAACAATTTGAAAATAAAACATTTTTGTGTGCAATTCCTATACTGGACTCCTTTCAAGTAATTTCTGAATTTTAATGGAACCTTAAAATTTTTCTTGGAAGTTAATAAAAACTCCATCACATCTCCACTTACAAGATCAGCATCCAGCCCGTACAGACAATGCCTCGTGTTGGGATCGTGGTCAGGAGACGCACGCTCTGCACGAATGAAATCCACGATCTTATGCTCTCCTTCTCCTGGAGTCTGGAAATGACACAGAAAATGACAAATTGTACCCATTCAATTATGAAGCAGGGCTGACAAAAAAAAAATGCTAAACATCACTTTTATCAAATCTATGCCTACTTCAAATCAAGTGATCAAATCTATACAATAGTGGAAATAAATTTAGGCAATTCTAATATTAGTTATGAATTGGACTTTCAAAAAAATGCAGAAATGCAACTGTTAATGTTGAAAGCACACAGGTCAACGTGGGGTGGGGATGGAGCATAGACGCAACACCTGAATATTCAAATGAATCTGGAAAACGTTCATCTTTATCAAATTATCTAAATGTGGCAAGCTGAAAAGATATTAAAACCAATGCATTACATTCTACATCATCTACTCCAACTCCATTAATAAATCATAAATTAATCTTAATAAATGATATTTAACTAACCTCATGACCTGATAATATGACCTTGACCCCCTGCCACAGTTTGTCTGTGGACATCTTGTTGGCAACAAAATACTTGAGCTGTTCCTGAAGTCTGACCATAAATTCCGTCCCTGGGGTGATACAGTTGGAGTCAAAGCGTTCTGCTGTGGGAAGAATCTCTCCCTTCTGCAGGGCCTTGCGGACTAGATCCTCAGCTTCGCGTGCAGATCTGTAACAATAAAACCACAAAGAAAATGTGTTAGGTGTGACATATCACCATGTGAAGAATATGACAGATGTGACTGATGTGAGATTGTGTTGACTATTCTAATTCTTACTGTAAAGTCAAAATAAAATCCAATATAATAATTTACCAGAAAATGTTCACTGTAGATTATTTGTTATAAGGTGTATGGCATGCTAGAAGGAAGCACATTTTAGATGGTATCCATATACTCAGGGAAAAACAGCAAGGTTTGACAACCTCTCCCCCTTAACTTTACCACACTTCTGATGCTATGTCTGGGGGCAGAGGCAGTCAAGACACCATAACCCCTCCCCCCCAACTCCTAGCTGTTAAATTTGGTTTATGTACAGTGCTTAATAAACTGATTAACCTGAATCGTCTTCCTCTCTGCTGGTTCATCTTGGCTCTGGGTGCAACGCCATCTACAGCCATGAAGAACACCTTACGCGGCTTGATCATACGGAATAGAAACTGAAATGTGAAACACAACTATGCATTAATAAGAACTTTTCAAACCCATTGATCTACTTAGCCAAATGCAGAAAAAATAGATGAATCTAAGGTCACCAGGTCCTGTATTTAATTAATATTCTGTGATTATAGCCTATAAAAACCTTTTGTTGGAGTGAATGTTTAAGCAAGGGTGTAACTATTGAACCATCCTGGCGTCAATTGCACAACATGTTCAAACAAGAAAACAAACTAATTTATGGCCTGATGGTTTGTAAAAGTTCTCAGTCCCCCCCCCCCCCTCCCCACACACACACACACACACAGCCTGTTTGAAAATCATGGCTAATCCCAATTTTGTCCACTTAAATTGTCACTTCAGAGTGGCTACGTATTGATGCTCTGAACCACCGCCTGACTGACCTCTATATAGTGAAATATGTCCAGGAAGATCTGCTCCTCTGTGATTCTGAAATGAGGATTGGAATCATCTGGGTGGGAGCAGACATGGATAATACCATTCATGTCAAAATATAGGTTGTCAAACTCTGGGATCTGAAAACAGGAAAAAATATGACATTTTAGTCATGGGGGAATACAGTGGTGCAAATACATATTAGACGGCACACTGAGGAGTAATCTTTATCAATGACGATATATGTACAGTATATCATTTCAGGTGTAGTGATTTTATTAATTACATATTACTTTCAAACATTAAACTTAAAGATGTAAGCTCGTGGAAAACTACAGCTGACTAGTGCACATGTGGGAAACAGATCATCAAACTTTACTGAACTTCGTACACATACACACAAAAAAAATAGTTTTTTGAAGTTCCTGTAGCTGTGTTGTTTTTGTGTTGCATTTATTGGTCCTTTGTCATTTATAGTACCGGTAAAATAACCTACCTGATACTCTCTCACCACCTCACTTAAACATGGATAGCGTTCGCTAACCCATCTGTAAAACTTTGGCACTCCCATTTCAGCTGTTCATATATTAAATCCTCAGCTATCAGGGTTATATACAAGTCGTAGTTGCACAACAGTTTTGCGTACTTTTCACTAGCAGATTACAAGTCTCGTTGCCGACGTGACTTCCGGCGAGATTTGGAGACAGCACAGAAATCTAACACGTTCGCATAAGTTGTGGGTAGCAGAACAGCGAACAAAATGGATTTTGTTATTGGTATGCTGCCTGAAAGCGTCAGGAATTTGCCCACACATATGGCAAGTATTTATCAGATACGCTACAATGATTTGCAATATCAGGATACCTTAAATATCTTAACACATGTTCCATATGCTTCGAGTCGGTCACACACACATACACAGGCGGTGGCTGGTCCACGCACTAAACTAGTACAAGTGTTTTTATTTAACTTATGAATGTGTATGTTTCAGGATTTTGATGGACAAAGGAGAGCAGAAAGAATATTCCAAATAATCATAGTGCTGTTTGCAGTAAGTCATAAATATTTTAAAGTAATCATGTCAACACATTTTCAATGCGGTAGACTGTAGAAGACACCTTTGACTAGTTCAATATATGGCTTTTATTTATAATTTTCTTCTAGCCTGGAACAAAATGAAAATCATTTGCAATTTTTAAATTAAATTTTGATACTCACTATTTGTTTCAATTATTTATAATTTTCTTCCAGACAAAAATAAAATGAAAATCATTACATTTTAAAATTAAATTGTGATATCCACTTTATTAGTATGTTTGTTATTACTTCAGGCTGTAGGCTTTGTATGGGGTTATATCTGCCAGCAGTTTTCACAGACTATGTACATACTAGGAGCTGGATTTGTACTCTCTTGCCTGGTAAGAAACTTCTGCATAGAACACTTCTTTACTAGTAAACAATGTGATCATTGTGTGAATATTTGTCTGCTTTGGCCCCAACTGTATCAGCAGAGTTAGGTGAAATATACTGTGTGTTTTAAGACTATGTCAGTCAACATCAATATATGGTTAATGGTTCAGACCAATACTTAACCCATAATTTAGTTATTGAAACTTAAGTGGACTACATTGATTAGAATTTATCTTGAACATTTTTCTGTCAAGACATACTAGTAGACCAATTTCTTTCGTGGATAAAGTTTTTTATAATGTGAAACCAGGCCCTTATGAAAATTTGTCTGTTATCCCATTTGAATCACCCTGAGCTTCAGAGATAACTTGACACTAACCTCTTCACAATAGTCTATCTTCATCGTGTCAATATGGGGTGATTTGAATATATTATCACTTACAATTTGTGTAATTGAAAAAAGGAACATAGTGCTGAGTTATGGGGATATTTGTCATTTCAGTTAACTCTGCCACCTTGGCCGATCTACCGACGGAAACCCCTCCCGTGGCAGAAGGCCCGTCCATCAGTAGATGAAAAAGAGGGCAGCACAAGTCAAGCTGCCGCAGCCCCTGCTGGAAAAGGAAAGAAGAAAAAATAGTGCAATGACTCAAAAGAACTCTATGAATTCAAGATATTAAATAATATTATGTGTATATATATATATTGTATTTTATAGGGACCATAATAACTGTATCTGGTCAATAAAGTCTGATGTTCTAGATATAGACTTGCTTACTGATTTCTACATATAGTGTAGAATTATGCATATTAAGGAAGTAGGCATGTCATATAATTGTCAATAAACCACATTAAACCAAACTATATGCCAACATGTAATTTCAGGAAGCATAACTTAAAGAAATGTTACAGGGTTTCCTTTCAATATTTCCTTTCAATTTCATTTTTAATCCGATTAGAAGCAGAAGGGAATGATAAGTAGGTCAGTGATAACATCTACTTTTTTGTCATGAGGTCAACTAATGCAAAACTTTGAAATCAACTTTAGTTATTGATCAGTACAATTTATAACAAAAACATTAATTTATTAATTATATTAATCTTTTCTTAAGTTATTTTTTGAGTGGGGAAGTAATTATAACGATTTTTTTCTCAAATTTCATGAAGAAATGGTGAAAAGTGCAGCCAATGTTGTTTTAAAACAACTATAAAAACAAATGCTTCTTTTGAGTATAAAAAGTTTATTAAGCATCATAGCACCACTTATAACCTTTAAAACAAATGACACAAAACATGTTCTTTCTGTTTTCGTTTTCAGCAACATAGAATTTCTGAACTATAAATGCCATTCTTTATCACAAGTTGAGTGAAAACTAATCCTTTCTGATAAAAATTCAACTAAACTGAGATTCATAGTCACAAAAAAGTGCTTCATAAATTCTTGTTTCATGCTTTTATCAGCTTTTTCCTCGAATTGCAATTGAGTTCAGCTCTCCAGATAGTCCTTGAAATTAAAGTAACTATGGAAGGCAAATTCTCTTTTAATTCCAAATAATAAAATAAGAAGCACCATTGGTCATTCATAATCAGAGGGCAGTTGACTGCACAACCTCGTGCTGAGACATATCTAGTCTTATTTTCCTTTTATGGCAAATAATACCTTGTTCTTAGACATAATGGACTTAATAACATTGACAAATAAATTCAAATTTTATCTTCCTTAACAATAATTCTTCACTGATTTAGATGGTTTTCAGTTTCATCTTGGGATCATACTAAGAGACATTCACTATGTACTACTGACCAACAATGTTCTGCTTAAAAAAAGGAAAAAAAATTACATTATGGGTTAAGGAAACTTGTCAATGTACCAATAAAAGTAATAATAAAAATGTTATAATTAAAATTTGCAAACAGCATGAATACTGCATTATCTGGGACCTTTGTATTAATTTTGACACAATTTCTTCAAAAGTAAAAGCTGACATTCAGACTGACTTGGACAACACATTCTTAACATTCTACAAGTCTATACATAAGAGCTAGATAAAAGACGAATTCAAATTGATAATGATGATATATAAAATATTCAAGAAGCACCATTGCAGCTAATGAAGCACAATGTTTTCATAATTTGTCAATGATAATAATTTATGTGAATATGATGGATGCTCTCTTTTATATATGGCAAAGTCTGTCTACATTACAGTTGTTCACTGATAATAAAAATGTCTTCTTTCGCTCCCTTGCTAAATGACTTTAATGGATTTTAAAATGAACTCTTACCAGATATTCCTAATGTATGAGAGAAAAAAAAAAAAACTTTTATCTGATACTTTTTGGTACAAAACTTTCTAAGTGCACCACAAGTTTTCAGATAAACTCTCACGGTTTCAAACAGTGGACTACAACTTAAACAACAGTCTCAGTCTCATCTAAAATAAAATAATTGTTATTGAAAATTAAAATGGCATGCAGTGAGAATTAATTGAACCTGACATATCATTTAATCAAATGTAATTTATGGCATATCAAATACACTTCTCTACTAAATTCCAACCGGCTAAATTCTAACTACTGAATTTAATGTTTTAATCTTATGAAGTAATAGTTAATTATGTATAGTTATTGTATCAGGCCCTATGACATATATTTATATTATTAAGCAAAAGCTCTAGAAAGGCTAAAATTAAATTTACCAAAATAACCAAAGATTCATATATTTAATGGAGCTATACTGTGCGTAGTTTGTTTTATGTCTCTTTAATGCTGTTAAATTGGAATATTTCCAGAAAAATGTCATTTAGATACAGGAATGGCAATATGAACTTATGAATATATTTTACTATGACACAGAACATCAAGTCACACTAAACCAAACACTGGGGACAATGTAATTTAAGACTAAATTTGAGAAGGACAAGTGCCGACTTACATATCAAAGCAAAATTTCTAAAAAATTTCCTTAATGACTTTCTACTTCCTGGAAAAAGCTAATAATGAACTCCAGTCTCATCATTTTATATAATAAAATAGCAGAAAATGAATAAATGACTTATAAATTTGTTTTCTTTCATATGTCTCAACATCCAATTAAAATGTGCACATCATCTTTTTTTGGCTTTTGATTATTATTTTTATAAACAAGGAAAGGTACAAAAAAAATCTGAGGCTAATACATGCTTAAGCAAAAATGGAAACTTTGCAGGAAGTTTTAGGGAAAGTCTTCGACTCTTTTTTATAGCACCTTAAGGTTCTGAAGGCTACCTGGCAACTTTTGATGACTCACAAAAACCTAGGCATCAGGATTTTTCCCATGATGATTATTCTAATAAATGGTTAAAAAATTAATATTTTCATTCTCTTACTAAATAACCTTTATGACATTTTCACACTGTGATGATTTCTTCTGCAACAGTTTAACAGCAGCATCAGGAATAGAAATAAGCTTCTGATTATTTCTACTGTTACAGGATTTCAAATTTAAACCAAGGCTGAACATTAGAGCATTTTTATCTGGTGTGGGAGAGGCTTGTAAATTTGTCCCATGTCCCCAGCACCAGGACAGGACTCTTTATACCGTCCCATATCTCCTGGCTACTTTGAACTGTCCCGTAGGATCTGGGATATAGTACTTGTCCCATATTTTAGAGAACTGAGCCCCACCGTCCCATGGTTTAGTGGGACCGTCCCAGTGGATCAGCTTGGCACGGGATATGAACTGGTCTGAGTACATCTTCTTATAGCGCATACCTGAAAAAAAAAATGGCCTTGTGGTTAGAGTGTTTGAGGGACAGCATGGGTTTGACCCCATCCTTCATAAACAGTGCCTGCTGTCTCCTCGCTTGGAACTCAGAACTTGAGGAGTGAAGCAGGGGTAATGCAACCAGTCTGACAGGGGATACTGCAATATCAGTTGCATGCTTACTTTCAGTGTGTACAACACATGGTATGTGTGAAGGCCATGTATTGTGATTGCAAGATAGATTCTCACACTACACATCTATCCAATAATCAGAGATACACAACATCTAAACTTTAACTTGCAGCCAATGACTTTACAAACAAGCACAATACAAAATTATGCAAAAGTCAGACCAAGGCTAGAGAAAAATATATATTCAGTGAAGGAGATGATATATTCAGAAGGACAGTCCTCTCTCTCTCTCTTACCTAAATGTCTGACATTCCACATTGGGTTGAGCAGAGAGAACCTCTTATACAGGGCTATCATCATAGGTGGCTGTGCTGCTCCTCCTGCTATACCAGTACCATACACCTCCTGCCTGGGAGAGAGAGGATACGAATATAACCAGAGAGAGACTATAGCTGCATTTAGTTTAAAGAAACTATCACACATACTCTCCCCTTCTCTCTCACTCTCTCTCTCTCTCTCTCTCTCACACACACATGCCTGCACACACATACACACACACTGCGGCACACACACACACACACTCACATGCACACACACACACATACATGCTTGAGCACACACACACACACACACACACACACACACACACACACACACGTGCAAACTGCACACTCACCATGTATTCAGCTGTAACCAGTGTTGTATCTTGAGAGTCATGTTGGTTTGTTTCCAGGTAGTTATATCCATAGCAAACACACCAGGGTTAAAAGAGCAAGCCAACGGACTCATCTTCAGTCGCTTTATTGAAGGGTTTTTAAAGTTGATATAGTTCTGGTAGTTGTTCTAAAAAGTTGATGATAATTAATAATTAGCAAAACAGCTTGTTTAACTTAGTTATTACAATCAATTTAATGTACAACAATTACAATTTTTACAAATCAAACTCATAGTTATCATTATTTTAACATTCAGCAGCAACTATGTGTCTTCCTTAAAACTGAACGGAGAAGTTTTAATATGCATAACTAAGATGTGATAAAGGAGAAAGAAAACTAAATCTAGTAATCCTCCAATATTTTGGCTTTTAATTTATCAAAAACAATCATCTTATATTCATTAACACAATACTTTATTCTAACCCCCCAGAGGGCCATGTTTAAGTGTATGCGCTTAACATATTTTACTCTCTTTAAATAAAGTTTATTATTATTATTATTATTATTATTATTATTATTATTATTATTATTATTATCTAAAAGCCTGGTGCATGTACCTGAATGTGACTGAATCTTTTGGACACCGAGTTACAGTCCTCCGAGACGGCCACAGCATGACCCCTGCGGATCCGGGTTTTGTTCAGCTCTCCTATGTCACCTTGAAAGAATTTCAACAAAGATGCGATTAATAATAGTCTTTAATGTGCCAGTCACTCTCTTCCATTTAACTCCTGTCACTTTCATGCTTGTCACATTTCACTTCTGTCACTTTCACTCTAACTTGTCAATTTCAAACTCATCAATTTCACTTGTCACTTTCATCCCATTTTATGGTAATTACTCAATCTTTTCAGTGGGTGAAAATAATGAATTTTATAGATACTGTTTTATTTAGTCCTAATTTAGTAAAATTAGAACATTCCAATTGAGTGGTACAACAAAGTAAAAAGAAGGCTACTCTATAGTTCTATTCAATGTTGTAAAACCACCACAAATGTTATGTAGAAATGTAATTTTTGTGCTTATAAAATTATGTGCTTGAAAAGTTGACAATTTTTGACTATTGAAAAGATAGAGTATTTACCATTATGATAATTTATGATCAGCCTATAATCTTTGTAGTAACACCAACAACAACACAAGCAAGCTTCTCCAGACCTCTCTTGTCCATTAAAACTCCCTTCATTAACTATGACCTTCAACCATATTTTTTAAATTTTAGTTTCTTTAATTTATCCATATTTGCTTTAAAAAATGATCATTTGATAAAAATGGTTGATTGACAGACAATAATAATTATCCAAATTTCAAAGGTCAGTGTGACCTTCAGCCACCACTTACCCTGTACTATCACATCACTGTCCACGTAAACAACACGACCCTGGAGATCAGGCAGCAAAGTAGGAACAAAAAATCTAGCGTACACAATCTGAAATATCAAAATAATAAATTATCAGGTGCTCATAAAAATGGTAAAAACTCAAATCAGGCACCAAAGTTGGGAACAAAGAACTGAGCACACACTGTTCACATTTCCCACTTGTGACTTGGAAAACAATGAGGTGAAGACAGCGCAGACATTCAGAAGCTGAACTGCAGACTAACAGTTCTGTGGAACAAATATGACCAGACCACAGAAGAGCAGAGCAGACTTATACGCTGATGGTTTCCCTGCCTCTGCACTCGCAATTAAACAGATTAAATCATTGTTCCAATGCCTCCACACCTGCCATTCCTGTTCCTGCAGGAATGGCAGGTGTGGAGGCAGGTAGACCATCAGCAGATTAGTCAGCTCTGCTTCAGTGTGGGTCGGCCATATTTGATCCACAGATCTATTAGTCTGCAGATCAACTAATTCTGAATGCTCTTAGAGAGAAAGTGAGAGACAGAGAGAGTTGGAGAACTTACAGGTCTACTCAGCTCCTCTCTTCCTCCTCGTAACTTTATCATGCCTGTGACTAAGCGTTTATTGAAGACCAACAGCTCATAGTCTATCTTGCTCAAGGAAGTGGCTTGAATCCACGTCCTGCAATTTCAAAAAAAGACCAAAAAATCTCTTTCTTACCAATAATCATCAACATTATATGTCATAATTATATGAGTTTTAATTCAGTTCATACAATTATGTTATCAACATGACACATCAGTGATCAAGACTATATGAAGTATTGGTTGAAAACTCTTTCACAACAGCTTTTAAGGCTGGAGCTCTAGTTTTGATTCTGTGCAAGATGCGTAACACAAATTATTGAGAGTCCAGTTTGAAGATTAATATTCATCCTTTATTTCAGTCCTACCTCAAATGTTTGGCACAGTCTGTGGTTGTGACCAGATGAAACTTGACAGGACACTTGGCGTTAAGGTGAATACTGTTCACGGCTGCTATCATCCCTCCCAGCATGGCACTATCAGCTGTCAACAGCACATGGGTGGGCTGTCCTGTGCAGTTGCCTAGCAACAGCTTACTGCCCCCTGGTGAATGTTTTGTAGACGTTTCATCTATGATTTGTGGGAAAGCTGAAATATTAAAGTTTCCCCTATAAGGTAATGACACAATCTTTTTAACGGATAAAAATTATCCATCTTTCAGATACATTTCTTCTGATTCATAAAAATTATGTACCAAATAGCACTACTGGTGATTTTATAGCATAAAATAGAATTATATGGAAGCCTGCTTTAAAATTCTGTTGCTTCCACTCAATAAGAATATTCTAATTTTCAAAAATATGACTTAAAGATACAGTATCAGCAAAACACAGTTTTATCCCATTGAAGATTTTGAGACACTACCATATGGGTGTGTGGTATAGGTCTGGGTGTGTGGTGTAGGTCTGGGTGTATGGGTGTGTGGTATAAGTCTGGGCGTGTGGTGTAGGTCTGGGCATGTGGTGTAGGTCTGGGCATGTGGTATAGGTTGGGTGTGGTGTAGGTATGGGTTCGTGTGGATGTTAAAGAATCGTTCCAACTACTTGGTATGTGGTGTGAAATGGCTCACATCTCTTAAGAGGCCTTGTCTTTTTGGCCCCTGGATTCCACACATAGAGAATGGCAATGGCAGTGGCAACCACCAAACACAGGGCCACTGAAAGACAATGTGTAAAATGCACATACCAGAACATTAAGAAACAACATATTTGAAATAAAACACATATGCATTTTAATATAATATGACGGAATCATGAATATCTATAAATGTTTTAATGTTACTAAAATCGATCCAATTAGCCGCAATAAGCCAACCGCCTTCGAAAAACGTATTTGGAGTGTACTCTTTAAAGGTCTGAACTAGTCTTAACTGGTCTACTTAACTCGGTGATTCATCTAATGATTGATCTGGTAGCACCGCTTTTATAAATGAAATTACTGTTTTAGTATGTAAACGAACCTCTTCTTGGAGTTATTCTAGGAAATAACATCTTGCAAGCCACCATTTGTTTTCTGATAAACAGACGCCGGGGCTTTAACGGCGAATATCACGAACTCTCGATCGTCATGAAGGCAAATATTCGTGGCACCTGACCAAATTGTAAGTCGCCATCTTTAGCAATACCCGTATGTGTCTCATTGAAAACGAGGCAGAGGGGAATTCCTTACTAAAAATAGAACAACGCTCGAAATCTTGGTGAAAGGGATTTGACGGGCTTGGGCGAAATAGAGGTAACCCTCACCTATCCAGCTTCTGGGAATAATTTTCTCTCTCTCTCTCTCTCTCTGTTGGTTAATTTAACAGTTGTGATAGAATATTATGGCTGGATTTGCAATTGTTGAGATAAACTAATTTGTCTAGATTTGTAAGGCTAATCTAAAATTTTCGTTTCTGTTATCATGTAGATCTAGAATTTTAGTTGGATTTTATAACGGAAAACATTCAAATTTTCGAAAGACAACTTACAGATTAATTATCATGAAAGTTCCACTTTCGATATATGTAATCTTTAATATATACAAATGCGTTTAAATGAAATTCAAACCTCACAGCCGCAGCAGACGCGCTGTACGTACTCAGACGTACTCAGTTGTCCCCCAAGGAGTGAGTAAGAAGGAAAAAAAATCATTTTTCAGAATGAATTTTGGAACTATTCAAAAAGCAGCAGCAACGGATATACCTTATCTTATATTTATTATGACCATCCAACATTAAATAAGCTTTGCTGGTCTGTCTAGTTCAATAAACGTCAATCAAAATGAATCAGGAAATACGACATAAATCCCACACGAGGCACGTGCAAATCCATAACGGAAAAAAAGTGTAACATTGTTCAGACAGCGTTCAGTGCAACTTATCAGAGTATTAAGGCAGCTAACAAAATTTTAACAACACTGCTAACGTCCATGTGAATATCTGCATCTAAACATGTTTGCGCAGGAAATACATGACCTTCTCCACCGCGTCATGGGTGTTATTTGCAAGATAAACGGTATCTAGCAACGATGGTGATTGCCAGGTTCGGAAAAAGAATTCCTGTTTGTTCGTTTTGCTGTTCATTAACACTGACGGTTTGTTCAACAGGATACTCAGTATGTGCCCATGTAGGCGGTCCGTAAACACGACTCTTCCACGTGACAGCAAGGCCAGCCCCATTACTGCTTGGTCCAATGAATCCTCAAGAAAATATTGTATAGAATAGGTCGAGGTATGATTGACAGCGCTGGTAACACGCTCTGGCCAATCAACGACCAGAACTGATGTGTTGCTAGGGAACACGGGAACATTTTTCAATTTACTAGGAATTTCCCAATCTCTTCTTTTCAAACAGACAATGTCGTACGATGGAATGTAGCTGCCGAAATCCTGGAATCCGACAGCGAACGCGGCGTCTGGTACAAGTTCAATGGCAGTGTTCCGAAAATATTGTTTCGTCACGGAAAAAGACGGACTATCCCGAAGTGTGATCACGGAGTCCGCGTGTCCGTCAAAGAGTCTTGCCCACTCCCGAATACTGCCACACCTACTGTGGTCAACAACACATGAACTCACAGGAAACATGAGAATCCGATTACTGGGAAAGGCTCGGAATGCTTCTTTCAGATATTTCAAATCTATCCCAGAACCAAGGTATCCTCCCCCAGCTATCAGAATGACCAGATCTTTGCCTCGTTTTACCTTGCTGAAGGCGCAGCGCGGCATAGAAGGGTTAATACACATGTAGTCAATGGTAGTTATGTTAAACCAGGATAAGATCGTCCTCTCTCCCCAGAGGATAAAACGGTCTCCGGTGTTACTTGTGTCGAACACATTCACCAAAATTGCGCGCTTGAATCCGGTGAGGTATTTCTTGAAGACTTGGTACTGGCGTCTCTGCATGTCACTTATGAAGATTTTATTAGGCCGTGCGCGGTCCGCGGTGGATATATCCTCCTGGGTAATGCTCACTTTCATGTCGCGTCTTGATTCATATTCCAGCAGTGTATCGTGATCAAGTGACGAGGAAAACCAAGAATAAGGATACTCTTCTCCAAATGTTCTAACCGCTCCACGCCGAAGGCTTAGAGCCAGGAAAACCATAATGGCCACGGTGCTTACTGCTATTGCCAGTTTTCGTGACCGCAAACGCATGGCGTGGTGATACGTCGAAGAGGGATTATGACAATGAAAAAAAAAATGATCCTCATGTGCCTTTTTCAATCCTTAGATTTTATCACCATAAATCTGCCTGTGAAATTAGTGCTGTAAACTTTAACACTCAGACACAACAAAAATTCACTAACAGGTTTGGAGGACATTGCATAGACAAATAACCGTGCAAACACAATAGATTGTATACCCGGAGGGCGTCTTTTCAACATAGGTTTTGAGCATGTTCAAATACAGTACAAATCCATCCGCTGTTCATGTCTTCATTTAAATACGATGGAAACGGGGGGATTTTATACGCTAAATCTGTGCGTATAATCGATGTCAAATACGATATTAATACGTACCTCTTTATGCTAGGTGTGACAGAGCCTTTATTCGCGTCCCTTAAAGAGAGTGGGCGTGCGTCATATCAATAGTACAAACTTCACAGCCTAAAACAACGAAGTAACCTTCAGAGGCAAACTAGACGAAGTATCAAAACACCCGAAACCACGTAAAACTAAATACTGGCCGCTGTATACTATATGTGGAAGCCATATGAATTGGAGAAAGTGTGGAAGAATCTGCATTGCAAGAGAGAGGCGACTTTGAGTTGAATGAGTGTGCGTGTGCGCACGTGCGTGTGTGTGTGTGGAGGAGGAATTTAATCACCCATTGGGTGGTACAGTGAATACTTTCGAGCACTACAGGAGGTAGGAGCCTGAATCAAAAAGAAGCTTATAAGAAAAAAAGCCTTCCCATGGGTTAGAAGGTATAATATTGTTACGCAAAGACGAAGAGTTGTTTTTTCTACTAGCGAATTACTATAGAACGGCAAATTTAGTGTCTTCAATATTTATTATTTAAAACTTTTAAAAACCAAATTCTATTAACAGAAAATACGCTCGCAATTATGGAAATCGTTTGAAACGATACCAAGGGACACCTATTAGACTAATATACCCTGTACATAAAAGGCCTGACAAAGAAACTTCAATATTTCAACTCTCTTCTGAGTTGTAAACTGTGCTGTGGCTAAGTACATAGGTTTGTACAGAGAGGAGCATTAATGCAGTAGATTAGCAGCATGATAGAAGCATGATTCAAATATGCTAATTAGCTCCCAAATCGAAGCAGATTTGAAGCATGTTTGCAGTATGATTGCAGTAGTCTACTGCGGTTTGCAGTATGATTGCAGTAGTCTACTGCGCTGGAGTATCTACTGCGTTTTCGTGCGGTCTCTCTCTCGTTTCATTCGTCCTCAGTTACACAGAGATCGACTAAAACTGTTGAGAAAACGACCGGTTATAAAATGTATTAACAGATGCAGGCACGTTATAGTCTTCACTAGGGACTGGATGTCACACTAATTTACATCTGGATACTTGGCTTCGCTTACCAAAAAGGTCAGTTGATAAAAATTAATAAAATCTCCGTCATTAGACACAGCTATTGGTTGAAGTCAAGTCAATGCAAAGATGTGTTGTTGCCTTTACAGGTGATATTGTTAGTTACAAGTCTAAGTGCTCCCTTCTGCCGTCCAGTTAATTGTATACCTGGCTTCACCTCCAACAAACCTCTGGTGATAACAAACGATTAAAGACTCACGCCTAAATCAATGTCATTAGTGATCTAGCTGATATGATGGGGTATTGTTAAAGCCGGCAGTCTGCTTAATCAAAGACGTTTATTGAACACTTATACGTCCGTGGTTTAATTTCTAAAAGGCGATAAGCCCTGATTTTCGCCTGTTCTCGACCAGATAAGGCCAATGGAACGTAATGTTAGATGAAAAGGTGTGAAATGATTCATTGTGTAGGTTAAAGTAAACAGTCTAGACTTTGATTAACTACGGGGCGTCACGGGTTCTCTGGGGGTGGTGTGAACGTCGGGTTGGCGAAGGAATGGGGGGTGGGGGGTGGGGGGCGACAGACTGATGAGTTCGGTGTCACATTTACTGGATTGAGTGATAACCAGACGTGCACGTATGGAACTACGTGGAGTTTTCACACCACTTGAATACTGCCTCCAGCCGCTATCGTCAGTGGCCCAGTCATGACCTGCAGCTGAGAGCTCAGGATTGTAGATCTATTTACACGTCCTTAAAGGCGTTAATAAAACACAAGAGTATTGTCAATAATTTTTACAGTTTGTGTTGTCGTACCTTCTGATACCAGGGGCTTCTTATGTAGTATACATAAAGTATGAGCGATGAAATAATTTGGTAACAGACTACCACCGCATATTGTCGCTGTATTCTATTGTGGTGTTCAACATATGCTGACTTTTCACATGCTGTGAAGTTAAGAATAATGCCTCTCGGCCTGTACTGGACTTAGGTTTAATGTGCCGTGATTTAAAATTCATATTTTTTTATGAATGCACTTCCCCTTAAACTTCACCTGTTAAAAATGGGGGCGTTCTTCGTGTGGTTTGGTACACTCAGGCTTGAACGGCCTTATTCTCACAAAAAGATAGGTCTTATTATTTTATGATAAAGTATCAATATCATGCCAAATATCAGTGGCGGATTTGGGGGAGTGTCAGGGGGATCCTGACCCCCCACTTCGATTTCTGATAAAAAAAAACGCATCGAAAAATCTGAAGGGAGTGAGGGTCGACATCGCAATTTGAGGCCTATCAATCCCTAAAAAACCGGACACCCCCTTCTGTATCCGCCCCTGAATATTACAATAGATGTCGTAGTATTGCCTTGGAAGCCGTACTCCAACCTGTCCTGAAAATGACACATGCTGTTGTTTGTATACACGTGATTCACTGTTTGTTTGTTTGTTAGTAGTCGTCTCTTATCTCGGCGATTGCAGGTTGCTGTCTGTTTACAGTTTACTTAAACTGGTGTTTACACGTGGAATAGTGCGCTGAAAATCACGCCAGGTCATCGTAGGTCTTGTCTGGACTCTGTTTTAAATATTTATCATCCTTCTGACACATGTTGAGCTAGGGATAATACTGTCTTCAGTTGTTTTACCTTGGCTGTTGGTCCTCTATTGTTTCCTGTATGTGTGTAGAACAGCATTTCACGAGGAAGCTATTTATAAAAACAGCGTATTTGTTCCATTCTTAGAGTAACAGCTGACACAAAAATATCTAACTCAACTATATCAGTACGTTGAAATTTAGCTAAAATGGCTCATTAAATAAATAATAATCGACCATATCATTTAAAATCAAATATAACCAAATACTCCAGCATCCCCCCACACACACACACACACATATCACGTTGTCTCGTGGCATTCCCTAAGTCACACCGGGTAGCAATTAGCAAACAAAGCTTTTCCGCTTGTCTCAGCGTAAACTGGGGCTGGCCTCAGAAGCCGCCTATTGTTGTTGATGGCTATAATCTTCAGGTCACCTGGGGACAGAGATAGCATCCTCTCTGCCACCTGTGAGCGAGGAAACAAACCAAACCTGTTTATTTAAATGTGTCACACTCAGTTGCTGTTGGACAATGTCGGCTTAATTGGTGCTTGCGTCATAACGTTAAGAGGATAGACTACACAGCGGATGTTTTAATCCAAACAGAGCGTCTTCAGGGTCGGTTAAGGACACGCACAGGCAGGTCACCCTGTATGGACTTTCACCAACGCAACAACCAGTTAAAATTGAAGCTCGTGTCGTATAGTACAGCCATCGGCTGAGACATTCGAGTGCATGCGAACTGTTAAGTAATTGTTTATTGTCTGTATTGTGGGTCTGAAAGTCAAAGTTTACGCTTTCGCCTTCTATTTAACGTACTGCAGGGATTCTGTAGTACCACTATACCGGAGTCTAAAGCCCCGAACGCGCACGAAAAGAGACTGCTTAAGTGACAGTTGAGGACATCGGTGTGGATGAAGTATTTCAAACGCCTTGCCACGAAAAATTGAGAAGTATAAAAGTGTTCTGCAACCAGCTAATTTTCCAATATGGAGGGAGGTTCCCACAGTATTCAAGTAATAGAAAGAGAAAGACGAGAACCACGACAAAATCTTCGAGATCTAGGGACCGCCACCTTCATCTCCAAACTGGTGATAGCGTATGGATTAGTTACCCAGGTATTTTTACCATAAGTTTTTTTATATTTAATGAAAGTTGATGCGATAAATTTTTATGTTAAGAACTTGATATTTAATAGTTCTATGCATATACTTGCCTAAGATTCGTCTCTTCTTCTGTAAGCAACCTCTCTCTCTCTCTCTCTCTCTCTCTCTCTCTCTCTCTCACACACACACTCACACACACACACACATTTTTCAACATCAAATTATTTGGTAATAATCGCTCGCCTTTATACAGCCAGAAGATGCAAGAACTAATTAAAAAAAGTGTTTGTTAATGGTGTATTAAATGCGGGCAGCGAAGTAAAAATTCGATTTTGATGGAATTTTTGCACCAGAAATTCGCCCGTCTTGCTTATACATGCAAAGCATTAACTTAGCCATCCAATTAGGGTTTACAGAACAGAACAGAATATATATTGATAAAACAACTTAGCATATAAGGTGCAATCATCGGATCGTGGTCTTTACATCAATTAACGGAGAAAGTGTGAATTTGTTGATGTAGATTTACTCTCGCATGAAATAACTTAAAGCTTCACACGGCGTTATGCTGTGACTGACGTATTAATGAAGGCTTTGTGCGGTGTATAGTCACAGTGCGGATATAGAAAGCACTGGCAGCATCTACCTGGGGGCCAGCTTTAGTCTACTGGATAATTATCAGCTTTATTGTACAAAAGTTTTAGCAGAATGTTAACGCCTGGCCGTAAAACCTGCTAAAGAGCTTGCACCAAAGCAGCCCCCAGTTGTTAAAGCCTTGGATTTTACACAGTGTGATTATTTTTTGGCTTCGTTCACATGGAATGTCTATTTTCTAAAAATCTATTTTCTATTCGC